TTCCCGTTGAGTACAACAGATGTGAGAGGTGTTAATACATTCCCCTTACGTAACCGACTCCCGAACCCGGAACATTGGTTGCAAAGACCATCGCGTTCTTATCCGTCTTTTAAAAGTTTTTCTTGATATTTTCCTTTCCCATATCTTTGGGATGAATAAAGTTCGGTGGTGACTCTGTCGAACCGCATTTTCGCGCCTTTAGCGCGAGGGTCGTGTTTTTGAAAAATTATTTTTCGAGGTGCGACAATATGCAATGCGACTCAACTGACACGGCATAATGCATGAAGTACCATCACAATCCATACGGTTCCTTCATTGAATCCGATTCCCTTCAGAATCCAGATAAGTCGTATACGTTCCTCTGAACTACAACTTATATCCACTCGACTCCCACATGGAGTCCGGACGAGACTAGGCATCCATCATGGATTCCCACCTAACTCATCTCCTCCATACACAACAAGAATGCATGACAGACATTTATGCACAATATAATTATCATTCATGCATAACCCACGATCCTCAATGATCACACGTAAGCCACGTACTCACCGTAATTCTCTCCAGAATTACCACCACCGCTAAAGACCGTCCATATAACGACAATCTTGGCACACAAGCATCAAACACGTCTCATAAAGGCAATCATATAAAATCCTATATTTTATCCTATTTAATGTCATTATCGATTTCCCTATGTCCAATTATATCATTTTAGTATTATGGATCAAGAGAAATTGCATCACACGCGAAATCGGGACAAAAATCACAAAAACGAGAAATTTCCAATACAGGCCTGCCCATACGTGTATGGTCATGCTCCATATGCGTATGGCCTCAATCCCTCGTCTCAGGCCTGCGTATGCTACGCTTAGGGCTCAAATGCCCAAGCCTCATACGCGTATTGCAATCTGTCGTATGCGTAGGGATGTCAAATGGGCGGGGCGGGGACAGTTCCCCATCTTTATCCCTGCCACCAAATTCATTCTGATCCCCGTCTCCGATCCCCGTCATAGGGGAGTTTCTACCCCATCCCCATTCCCCGCGGATCCCCGCTCCCCACGGATCCTACATTTATCCATTACCATTTTGTTTTTTAAAATATCTATATTTTCTATAAAAATAAAAAGCACTAGCATTTCACATATTTATTTTGTTATTAAAAAATACTAGTATTTCACATCTATTATTTTTTTTATTAAAAGTACTAATGGGACACAAAATAATAATATTTTTTATAAAATTTTATAAATGCTATAAAATTCAACAAAAATTATAATACTTTTTTTTAAGTAACAGTATGCCTAAGCAACTACAAAAATCTATACATTAATATTTTTTATTTAAAATAAACATAATTGAAATGACAAAAAAAGCCTAATGTAAAATATAAATTATATATTAAGTTAACTATATTAAAATAAATAGGCAGGGCAGGGTCCCGCAGGGCGGAGGATGTGTTCCCCGTCCCCATCCCCAAAGTGTCGTCGGAGGAATTTTTCTCTCCATCCCCGCCTTGTGGGGGGAAATTCCCCATCTTTGGAGCCTCAAACAGAGCTATCCCCACAGGGATCCCCGCTAACAGATACAAATTGACATCCCTACGTACGGGTATGACCAAAGACCATTTTTCTTCAGAATCCCCCTAAGAACAACCCGTACGCGTAATGGATACCCTTATACGTGTACTGCCCGCTTCCCATACATGTTTCAGCAGATGGTCGTGTTGGCTCTAGGAACGGGGTACGTATGCTACGGGTACTGCCCCTGGGAGTATCCCCATACGTGTATGGCCCCCTGACATACGCGTATGGCCAGTCTGCACAAAAAAAATTCATTTTCGCATTAGTGCGATTTTTTTCCTTATTGGAGCACTACCAAGCTCCTAATTCAGACCCAAAACAACATTTGTATCAGTATAATCTTAAAGTCCTAATTCTACTTCATTAATTTTTCATTCTATCAATGTATTCTACTATTAGGATCCATTTTCGTTAACTCCAGAAAAACCCCAAAATTTCAGCTATGTTTCCATATCAGAACCCAACAACAACAGTACAAAATTCACACGAATTTAATATTTGAAATCATCATGCAACACATATTCATATTATAAGAGTACACTAATACGAATTTACAACAATTATCACACAAGCATACAAACAATCAAGAAGAATAAGGAATACACAGAAAATCTTAAGAGGGAAAGGGACTCTCGCTACCTTCTCATGTTCAGACCACCATTAAAGAATCTCATTCTCCCCCCTTACCTGAATTTCCAAGCTTTTTCTCTCTTCAACAATGGTGGAACTCTTGATAATTCTTGCCCTAGCTCTGCTCCCTTATTCTCTCTCATCTCTTTTACGTGAAACTGATTTTTCTGTAACCTCTCTACCACTATTTCCTAATTGTGAGTTATTTTTTCCTAATTATCTCAATTTTCTCAATTTCAATAATAATTATTATTGCAGCTATCATTAAGGGTAGATATTCCATGCCCTAATAATAATATTAATCATAATAATATTAATACTAATATTAGTAATAATACTAATAATAACCATATTAATAGAATGTCTCATTATACATATCATTATTATTACAACTACTATTCCAAGACTTAATTTCATTTAATTCATTTCACTAAGCTCTCACGCTCACCCTTATACACATACTCTTAACTAAGACAATGCCAAAATAATCACACACAATAAATCATAAACGACTAAATATTAAATGGGGTGTTACATCATGTCCGAAATAAGATCCTTCTCCTCCGAAACAAGCACAACATACAATAGATTGACCTGCTAGCTTGTTAGTCAATGTATGAAAATAACATTAGATTTCCATGTTTCATCCGCCATACGGTATCCACACAATTTTAACGGGCACTCACATTTTTTCGATCTAGTGTCATCTCGTTTCACCTTCCTAATTTGTGGTTGGACGTGCCACTTTTTTTGCATCTCATCTTTACAAATGTTTGTCTTCTATCTGAACCATTGTTGGACCTTTCAATTACAACGGCAAACCCCAATTTCCCAGCCTCAGTGCAGACCCATTGTAACATATGTTCACAAATATTAAACTCTTATCGTAAATTATGCACGAACATCTATGTCAAATGATCGGTCGAGCATCCAGTTGAACATCATCATTCACTTCACTCGGTTTAACATCATGCTTCACTTCAACCGGTTTAACATCCACACTCACAATAATTTTGAAAAACGTATTCGAGTGCACCATAATAATACCAATAACAGAAAAACAACTTTAAAACTCAAACAATCGGGACAATCCGAATATGTATCTCCGACCCACACCAAACTTCGTTCGGATATGCATATTCGGACTCAACGTTCTTTTTTTCAACTCAAAAATTAGATTAATGCAAGGAATGAGAAATGAACTGGATGAACTTTATTTGCAATTCCAATTTCTTTTGCTCCTTTTGATGTGATGAAAGATAAGAATGGTGATTTGGCGTTGAAAAGTTAATTGAGAATTAGAGATATTTTTTAAGAATTTTGAAAAATGGAGTCTATTTTCAGCATGAAGATGAAGATCATGAAAGGTGATGTTTTATCCAATTTTCCGCTTGACATTTCCAGACATGAATCTCCGAAAATATACCAAGTCACCATAATTGAGTACAAGTGAGTATTTCGGAGATGCATCTCCGAATACACTCAAATAATTTATGGAGATGCATCATCGGACCATATTTTGTTCAATATGGAGTGAATCTAAAAAAAACGAAGTTTGGTGTGATTTTAGGGCATCTGGAGATGCATATCCAAACGCATGAGATGCACACATAAGGGTGAAAAGAACATTTACCTAAACAAACCTGATCTAATTTGAACCTGTGTAGACTAGGCCTTATGATTCTATTAATTGGTCTGACCTATTCATACCCCTACTCCTAGTGCATTGTTCTAATGGGACAAAATGACCCCTAAATATTGTTATTATGTTGTTTTTCTTCCACTAATAATCATTCTATTTCTACCTTTAATTTCATCAATGTCAATAATATCTGTACTCAACTTATGAAACGACAAAAGCTAAATTTATAGCAGCATCATTATTCTTTACTTACATATGGTCATTGTTAAATGTTGAAATAATTAGTGGTATGATGAGTGAACTAGAATAAACTGAAGCTGATGGATCTACATGAAACAAGATATAACAAGATGTTAGGAAATTAGAATCATACGTGTAACAACTAGGTGTGAAGAACATGTGGTATAATGCAGTGATTCAATCTGCATAGTTTCCATTTCATTTTGGCAAAATGTGCAGCATCCTATCATCCATGTTTTTTTCTTTGCAACTCAGTTAGATCAATTGCTTTGTAAGCAGAAAACCTTCATATTAACCCCAACAATTTTTAGATTACAGTTTCAAATTCCATTACTGCATCAAATTCCAACTGAAGAACAGACCCTTTTGGATCTATTGTTTATGTTAGCACTGACAAGTCCCACATTGGCTTTGGCTTGTCAGATTGGGCTGACGGGTGCATCGTGTTGGCCTGCCCGCTCCATGTTGAGGGTTGACTCATGGGACTTGAGCAAAGGCTCAGGTCTCTTGTCTCTTAGACAGGAAGGCACAACGTGAGGCTGGTTTCGCTGAGGTATCATCATTTCTACTGCTAGTTTTTCATGAGTTTTAGATTCTTTTCAAAATGATTAAAAATCTATGCAGAAAAGTATGTAGGAACTTCAAGCCATCATGAAATAGCTATACAGTTCCCAGAGCAGAGACAAACCTGTAAAGACAGTTTTCTGACATTACCTAGTTGTTTTGTGAGGCAAAATAAAAGGACAGACCATGTAGACAGAAACTAATGTATCCTTACTTTTCCACTGACTGGTTCAGCATACATTTAAAGTTAAATTTAAATTACAATTACAATACATTACAAACACAGCATCCATTCTATTTGCTGTAATGTTGCTGGAATTTTAACAAGTAAACTAATGCTTTCACATGGGCATTGTACATTTCTTTTGAGAATGTCCTAACATATGGCAGCGACCACATTGGACAACCCTTTTGGGACGCTTAAAGTTCTCTACTCTCAGAACCTTCTTTTTAGGTCTTCCGGGAGGTCGGCGAGTCTTTGGTGGGCGAATTACAATATCAACCCTTGCACCTCCTCCACCTTCTGCCCCTTCTCCATGTTCTCTCCATTGACTCTTGTCTGGAATAGGATTTATCACCTGTGAATAGGCCATTCTGTAACTTTGTACAGTGAAACATGGTTCAGCAAACATATGGGCATTGTGCCCACAAGAAATAAGTGCAGCAGCAGCATGAGCACAAGGTAAACCATACAACTGCCATCGGCGACAAGAGCACTCACGACTTCGTATATCCACAATATTGGTTCTTTCAGTTGACACAATTTCAAACTCAACTTCGTTTGCTCGAAGTACTTGGTAGCAATGAGCATCAGCTATTGCTTCCGAAATTCGCTTCTCAGCAGATGGTACAAGAATTGAAGTCCACCCCATGCCCACATCTCGCCGATCATTAAACCAAGATGTCATCTGCTGGCGGATGTATTCCATCATTTGCACAACGGGGAGCTCATGACATTCTTGGGCCCAGTTATACAACAATTCAGTTACCCCAAGTGTGAAATGGCCATATCGAACACCATCAAAATATGCAACAGCCCAAAGATAGGGAGGGAAGTGTTGAAACCATGATATAACATCCTGTGAAATCTCTATCATCTCAGTAATTTTGCTTTCAAATTCAGCAGCTGTAAGGGCATAAACAGCATTCCAAAAGATGTTCACCAACTTTGTGTTTTTAAAAGTATCGCGAAAATTTTCACTTACATAACGCAAACAGAAACCGTGTGAAGCACTAGGAAAATGTGTTTCTACTGCCTCCACCATGGCTCTTTGCCTTTCAGATAGTATTGTAAGTCTAGGCATGTTGTCGGTGTTTACTCCAAGAAGTTTCCGTAATTCAGACATAAACCACATCCAGTTTTCATCGCTTTCAATATCAACAACAGCAATAGCCAAAGGAAACAAAGCCTCGTCAGCATCAACAGCTGCAGCACAAAGTATTGTACCTAGATATTTTCCTTTAAGATGTGCTCTGTCAAGCTCTAAAAGAGGCCTACAAGCATTTATAAACCCATAAATTGATGCACGGTAAGCAATAAACAGGCGTTGGAAACAATTTTCTTGTCCGGTGGCACCAACAGATGCAATGCTACCAGGGTTCGTTTTCCTTATTTGCTCACAGTATGCAGGGAGAAGACGGTAACCTTCTTCAAATGTTCCATGAAGCGCAGCCATGCTTCGCTCCTTTCCTCGCCAAGCTTGCATGTAAGAAACAGCAACTCCGTGCTGATCACGAATATCTTGCAGTATTTCCCTTGGTTTGTATTGTGGATTATCTCGAATGCGTGATTCTACAGACCTTGCAACCCAACCTACTGATGCCTGCTGATGATGAAGGTTGCGAACTCCCTCACAAGTGTGGTCTCCTTGTAGGGTTCTTATAGTAAAAGTAGGAACACCAGGACATTTTGCTACATGGACACGCCATGGACACCCTTCTTTGGAGCATTTTGCTATAAAACGACTGCGGTCTGACTTAACTATCCGAAGATCGAAATGCATAGCTATGGCAATATCTTTCAATGCTCTTCGGCAGGTTTCCACATCTGGAAACTCTTGACCAATGACTAATGGATGTTCTGATATAGTAACAGAAGTATCATCTAAAACTAAAGAATGAGTATCCATATAAATATCTTCGAAAACAAGGAACCAGCAAATGTCATGTGACTCTAAGGGTCTTCATCATATTCATGAATTATCAAGGACTGCCAAGGATAGGCATTAAAAAATGCCACCATATTAAGCCTCCTCCCAATAACAGACGCTGCATTACACAAGAGAATAAATGTTACTACACATAGTTCAGAACAAAAAGCCATTGAAACAAAATGGAACAGAATTATCAAGTGGACAAGGAACATAAAAAGATGTAAATAAAGTATTAACTCATAGTGTATCCTCAATAGTTGGATTATTCAAAATGAGAAAAATGAAAACAATTGCAGAGGAAGAAAAAAACTCAAAAGAGTAAAAGGACCCATCACTGAGTAGACACGCAATATAAATCTAAATCTACAAACTTATACAGAGAAATAAAAATTTGTGAGTATATATTGCTTAATCAGCCGGAACATTCTAGTCCTCCAAACAGAAGGGAACTATGTAAAAAAGAACATTCACCCCTTGCAAAAAAATAGTATTTTGGGGATAGAAAAGTCCAAATTTGGTGAGCCCAAGAAACATCAATTGAGCTAAGATATTTATTTTCTCAAGGAAAATCAGCTGCTTTGGTCAATCTAATTACAACCGCCATGATTTTGAATTATTGTAGAGCCATGTATGGATCTGTAAAACTTAGTCCATAGAAAAGATTATACAAATGAAACAAGCTAGGGGTATAATACTATTTAGATACAGAAATCATAATTATTAGAAGTTGATCTACTTTTCATTCCTCCAACTTAATTTTGTTGAACCCTCAGAAGCCTTTTGTTGACTTTAGAGAGATGACGGAAATAATATATTTGAGCTGCCAGGCGATCCGATAGAAGTTAAGCAATACATGGATGATATTAACCGAAAAGTATAATAGTTTGAACTTTGAACACAGACAACAAAGGATTTTAGCTCAATTTTCTTCAATGCAGGTAGAAAACCAGTTCGGTCACAACAACCTTACAAAATGATAAGTTTACCGTACCCCATTCCTAATGAACTATAATCTTCCTTTACATATGCACAAGTCCCTATAGCTTTCACACCACCATCTCATTGCTTATAGTTCAAAGACAATCCATTGTTAAGAAGAATATGACTTTGCCTATACCAGTTTCGCCGCGCGTAAATGCCTAAACTAACCGGATGGTCTATTACTCCTTTACACAGTTCATGTAATTAATACATACAAATCTGCTAACTTCATGACACAGCTTCTTTCATGCATCACAGTAAATAAAAGCTATTTTTTAATTACAAAAAATCTACATACTGAACCCTAATCGTTGTTTCCTAATAGCCCATTAAAACAAAGAGGAAAAAAAAACATTTTTCCTACTAGGTTTGATCCAGAAGCTGAGTTCAGGGTTCAATTTTCAAAAAGCAAAGCATAAACATAATTAAGGGATTCACATTAAAGCTTCAAATCACGAGGAGACATTAACGACATTGCTCACCTAGGTCAAACTTCTGCATTGAATGAGGCTCCAATGCAACCCAACAAGTACTATTAAAACCCACTTTGGATCCAATCCAACACAAACCACAATCTGGAAATCTCAATTTCCGAATCCAAAATTTAAATTCCGTAAACTACCAGGTTGGAATTTCGCTTGGGAAACACAATTAACATAAAAACATGAATTTTATAAGATTGATTTAACTTTTTGAGGCATAAATAAAATTGTGCAGAGAGAAATTGGGGATATGATGTGGAAGAAGAAGAAGAGAGTACCTTAGTTTAAAGTTATTGTTGTTATTATTGTTGGAAAGTTTGACAGTAACGGCTTCTGCTACTGTTGTTGTTGATGTCGTTCCTTGTTCTTGTTGTTGTTCAGCTTTCGTTCTTGCAATTTCACGAGATGGTGGACGGTAGTAAACAATTTTTTTTTTATTTCTTTTTGTTCTTCACTGATTTTCTCTTTCTAAAATCTTTTTATTATTATTATTTTTTTGTAGTATATATGTCTCCTTCTTCAAATATTCCAATATAAAACTTTTTTTTATCTACTTACTTTATTTATTTATTTAGATATGGAGAATCCATTTAAATATCACATTTCATAATTAATTTGACCAAGAATTTAGTTGTTTACATTTGGGTGACAAATGGGTATGTCCATTTAATTTAGATTCATCATGCAAAAATCTATAAAAATGGGGCGAGATGAGACGAGCATAATCGAGGGTGTCAATTTAAAATTTTGTCTCGCCAGAAAAAAAATAAAGGCGAAGCAAGGCGGGTGGGTATGTGGGCATTGAATCTTTTAGTTTAAAAATTATAAAATTTTATATTAGTGTTTGCGCTTGCAAAAGTCCGCAAATAACGAGGCGAGACAAACATATTATAGAGTGCAAGGCAAAAATCTTTACCTGCCCCGCAAAAAAGAGCGGGCAAAACAGTTATGCCTCACGAGCCGAACTTGTTTTGCCATCCATAATGATAATATGTTACTTTGACCGAAATTGAAGTGAGATTTTTAAAAAAAATGGTTTATTAATAATTTTTTTTATAGTGGTCAAAGATTTTTATAAAATTCAAATGAAATTTATAATCGAAAACTAGAACTAGAGATGATGCGTGAGATGATAAGGTAATGCTACGTTGTAATGAATTTGAACTTTCAATGCAATGAAGAGGTGAGTGACATGCGAGGTTAGCATTATAATGCATGAGTGAGTGAGAGAATAATGAGTAATGTGTGCGTGAGGGTGTGAATCATGTATATTTTTCTTCACATGAGATCCTTTATGCATGAGAGTTGATTTGAGTGTTCCAGATTTGAGTCAGGTGTGGGTTTTCTCTTATTAAGTCTTTGGTCGGTATAGAAAAGTTTCCCCCAAGACTTTTTGTGGCTTGGTAGCGAGAATCCTTTTAGAGAAATGGGTCGGGTTTCCCATACTACGGTCGTTGCTTGGAAAATTGGAAGAGGTTTGGTAGTCGGTGGGAATAACCCAGGAACACGTGCCTTAAATGTGAGTTTCGTCGTTGAGATGTCTCGCAGGATTTGTCTAACATGCGACCCTAGGTTTCTTGACTAGGGAGTGATGCCTCTTCCAAGGATATTAATGTGTTGTTGTATTATTGAGGAAAAATATAACTATTGCCTATTTGCCTCACTTTTGAGCCCTTTATTGATCTGGCTCGCTTCTCTATGTAAGGGTCACTTGTGATTTCAAAACTATATTAGCCCTTTATACAAATTGCAAGTTCTCTTTCTTCTACACACTCTGATTTTCTTCTCTGAACTTTAGTAACACCCATTTCGCCAATCTTTTTCCTTTTTTAGGTTATACTTTTCCTAGTCTAGCACATCTTCTAGGTCATCTCCTTTAAGTGTTGTATCTCTTTTCATTCTCTCAAGTACCAATTTTGTATTTTTTTTGTTTACAACTCATTGCTCTTCACAAATAGGATAGTGAACCCGAGAATGCCAAATATTGGCCCTTTAGAAGTTAACCATCGTATTGCAAACCTTATTGTGCTTAGCAATAACTCTGAGTCTATAGGGGGTTCCAATGAATATGGTAATGAACCCTCTAGTTTTCATTCTATTGGAGGTGCTAATGATTCTTCCAAAGGAGATGAAAGGAATGATCTTGATAGTCCCATTGTTGGGGGCGTGGATGTCAGTTCTCTTCTCCCCATTTTGTCTCCTGTAGATCTTGAACCTACTGAGGTTGCCCGAAACAAACAGTTGACTTGCTATTTTATTAAATCTTTTAGGGTGACGAATGAAAGGATCTTAGTGACAAAGGTTATAGATCATACTATCTTTTAAAGCCATTCATGGATTCATGAGTAACAATATCTTTTTAATGATAGTTGGAAAGATATGGTCAGGAAGGAACACTAAGGTTTGATACCGCCTAAAGATGTCGTTAAGTACCACTGGTTGGATGAGAAATAATTGTAACTGGCTTCTTACTTCTACAGTGTCGTCTATTAGGAGGGTTCTCACACAGAAGCGAGATCCTCATCTAATTTGTTGATCTCCCATGTTGACAGTTCCAATAAAATATGTAGCTCTTTAGATAGGTGCTCGATTATGTTCTGTGAATGCTTGATTTCGAGATTAAAGTTTAAGTTACCATTTAATGACTTTGTGGAAGGGGTGTTGAAGTATCTTTGTATAGCTTTGTCGCAATTACACTTCATAGTCTGGGAAATTGCCTAAGTATTCAAGTATGCGAGTACCAAGAAAACATGTTTGGTGATGAGAGGATTTATTTTATGTTTGACTATCCTTTGTTCCGTTTTACAGATAACATGGCATATCATAAGAATATTTTCAAGAGAAGGAAAACCTTTGTTGTGGATGAGGTGTTCGCCTCCCCTCCCCAATTTCAATTATGGTCTACTCAGATGCGACTATTGATACAATCCTAGCGAAGAATGAGATCTTGCTCAGGGGGCAGGAGAAAGAGGCTGAACAAGGATGCTCTTCCTCCAAAAGAAGGAGTAAGAACCTAAAAGATCGACCTCTCCCACTACCAAAAAAATCCAAACCATAAAAAATGACAGTCAAGGGAGATGTCATAGGAGGCAGCAAAACTCCTATTCCCCTTTCAAATTTCTACAAGTCTTCTTGTCTCTAGGGCTTCGCACTTCCCAAGATGTATAACCTTGCATCACCAAATGAGGTTATACTTATGTCCAGAACCTCGCTAACACGACTAACCTAGAGCTGGTGGTGGAGATAGCCTATCAAAATGCCATCAACCATATGGAAGTGTTATGCCCGTACATTCAGGTTCCCCCGAAACTTGATGGATCATTGATGACATTTTGTCATTATGTAATATTTGCGAGTATTTTTGACGAAATCAATGAAATTATGAGAAAAATCCAACAAATATGTTGAAGAATTGAGAAAAGTTACGAAAGAAGAAGAAAAGGGGATTTAGAAAAAAATTAGAACAAAAAAAGCAAGATTTTGCCTTGAGGCTGAGGTTGTAAGTGGTTCAGT